AATTGGACCTGTTTGATAAAGACCATCACCGAACAAGCTTCGTCGTGTGGTTTCATCAGGAACAACACCCACTGGAAGGGTTGTATCGGTTGATCCAGCGTTCGTCACGCCGGTTGCAGCAGGTGTTGTCGCGTTGAGTGGAGTCTGGGTGGCGAGGTCAATGGGGGGGTGTTATCATTGTTCGTCATTTTTCTGTAAAGAAAATATGAAAACGGATCAGTACTGCATACAACCATTCAACTAACAACATATTATTTTTAAGCAAAATAAAAAATAATAGTGTAAAATCAATTTTCGTTTTTGGTAATTTGAACCAAATCATATCGATACAAGTCTGGAAAAACGTTTTGCAAACTTGCTTATAAGCGTTCGCAGAAACCGTTTAGTGTAGACTTAGAATGTTTCACAAACTCGCTTAAGAAAGCGTCTGTGAAAACGATTCATATATAAACGTTTTAAAGAAACAAGTATCTAAAACGTTTCGCGGATGATGCTATAAGCAAACCAAAAATCGTTTTGAGATAAGTAAGAAAATTTTTGCGGAAATGGTAAAACCAAATCGCAAACACTGTTCGAAAGACCGTTATAAGAATCATATAATGAAAAAAAAACGTTTCGCGATAATGCTACAGAGCAAAACGCAAACCGTTTTTATATAAGTAAGAAACGTTTCGTGGAAATGCGAGAAGCAAATCGCAAACATCGTTCCAAATATAACAAAAAAAAAACCGTTCTATAAACCGTTTTCCATCCGATTAGACGCTTTAGAACTAAAGCGATTCAGAGTTAAGATTGTAGAAGCCGGTAAACCGGATCGACATAAACGATAAAATATAACCGGAGTTAAGGAAATAGATGATTCAGAAAGACGGAAATAAGAACATGGAGACGAGATATAATCTCTTTGCTTAACTCTGAATATTCGCTCCGTAGTGAGACGAAACTGTACGAATACCGAGTCCCAGGATATAACCATGGCGACGAATCACGCTTCACTCGTGAAATGCCCTAACGAACTAAATAATTACGAAACACTCTCTTACTTTGAAGTTTTTCTGTTGGATTTCTTGCGTGAAAAAGTTAGAAATGAAGGAGGAGGAGAGGCCATATTTAAAGAGACGGAGAGGATCCACTTCCCGCAACAAATACTGCACGTGGTCGAAAATTTCGCTGAGATCTCGGAAGTGGAAGCTGAGAAACTTTCTCCGCAAAATCTTCTCTTTTATTTATTGTTTTTACACAAACTGCGTGTTGTTTATTCACAACGTCATGCTGTTTTTTCATTTAAAAATGGCAAAGCGTTAGGCTTAATTTGGTCCAAAAAAAATCTTGTTGGGCCAAAACCCAAGACAAAGCCGAGCCAGCCGGACGGCGGCGCGTGGGGAGCCATCTCTTCCTCTGACTCGTTTGAACCAAGGTAAGTGTGACTCAATATATATACTCCTCTCTGATGCAAGTATTACCCGATGTGGAACTTTGGTGAATTTGTCACTTAGACAAAATTGCAGTGTTTATGAAAACACTATGCTACCAACTTCTTTACATCATTTCTTGTTCAATTTTGATCTTCTTTTAAGGTGTGAATATATGCTGTTGTAGTACTCATTACAAGCTTTCCAACGAGCTAATGATCTGACTGGAACGACCACCGGTTTGGCCGGAAAAGTCGCCGGAAAATCAAAAAATATCAGCTTTTAAAAAACAGAGATCCAACATATCTTTCCCCATGGGAGGTTTTCATGAGTCTTCAGTATTTGTGAATGTGAGTTATCTCTTGGAGACTTGGAAAATTTTCGAAGAGATGAGATGGATTACGAAGGCTTTCCCATGGATCCTTTGGTACCTATGGAAGAACATGAACTCTTTGTTGTTTGAAGGGTTGTTGTATGATGGAAAACGTGGAAAACAATGGAGGAAGCTAATATGTGGTTTTTGGCACAGGAGATGGAGTGTGAGGATGTAGGAGAAAGTAGCATTAATGATATATCTCATACAAATAGATGGTATCCCCCACCAGACGGGTTTGTTAAATGTAACGTTGGTATGAGATGGTCAAAGAAGAAAAAGGAGGTTGGTGCTGCTTGGGTTTTAACTTTTAAGAGATGCGGGAGGCACGGTTCTGCTTCATAGTCGACGATCTATTAGTGGAGTTTGGACAAAAGATGAAGCTCACTTTTTAAGTGTGGCGTGGTTGGTGGAAAGTATGATTTCCCACAAGTGTTGGTTAATGCTATTAATAGACCAAAAGGTTGGCCTTCCTTCAAGTATAAAATAATGGAACTCAAACATTTGTTTGGGGAGTTGTTGGAATGGCGGGTGTTGTTTGAATCATCAAATGCCAATACAGGAGCCCCGTTAATTGCTAACAGCGTTATGACTGGGGATAGATTTCAGTCATATGTGGCTAGGGGTTATCCTAGATGGTTGTCAAATGTTTTTTGAGATGGCCTGTTTCATAGACCGCTTTTGTCTTTATAGGTCATGGTGTTTAGTTTGGTAAAGTAATAATGTATGCTGTAATAGTGTTGATGATCAATGGAAATAATTAGATGGCGAAAAAAAAATAGCTGGTAAAATCAGTACCAATTAGACTAAGAGTAAACAAATCAAATCTCTGAGAATAGACAGGTCTAGGCTTGCTCTTTCTGATTCCAATGTGGTGTCCATCAACTTTTTTTTGTCTCACTAGATCTTGCATAGTGAATAATAATGAAAACTAGATATTGACCCGCGCCCCCCGCGCGGGTGTTTGATTTAACTTGTGTTCAACGTAAATTCATAACTGATGATTTTATTAAATAAAGTCTTGTATATTTTTTTTATGTTTTATAATTTACATATAGAATAAAATATATTACTTTAAAATATAGATGTTTGATAATACTTTTTTATTTGGACATAATATTATATTAAGAATTTTATAAATTGATGTAATTGTACGAATCATATATTAATCTGTTATTTATTTGTTAATTTATTTTAAAATGAAATAATAATTTATAATATCTTATTTTCTTAAAACTGAACTCTCAGATTTTTTTTATTTGATTAAATTATATGAAGTAATACTATATTTAAAAATTGTTTATAAAATATATACTATGTTGTGATTGATATTTTTATATTATCAATAATACCACAAACTTTATAATTTTAATTAGTTAGTTTAAACTGCTTTTAAAACTTTATAATATCTTATTCTCTTAAAATTGAACTTTGAGATTTTTTTTTATTTGATTATATTAAATGAAGTAATACTATATTTAAAAATTGTTTATATAATATAGACTATGTTGTAATTGATATTCTTATATTTTCAATAATACCACGAACTTTATAATTGTAATTAGTTAGTTTAAATTGCTTTTAAATGTAGTGGTAGAATCTGTAAATAAAAGAAAATACAAAAGGAAAGATTTAATTTATTGCAAATGTAATGGCTAAATATGTAAATAAAAAGAAATATTAAAAAGATACTGATATTAATGTTTCCAAATTTACTTCTTTTTATTATTGTTATCCTTGTTTCCAAACAAAAGGTACTTCTGTTTTAATAATATAGATGGACAACTAAATAAGAACCGTTCTTCCAGTCTTTTCTCCTTGATTACTTATTCAGTTTTCGATTAGATACGTAAAGAGTGTAACTAAAAGATCTTTTTCAAAAAAAACTTAGTTTGTGATTTGTTACTTTCTCAAAAGGAAAGTATTTCTTATTAATGATAATAAGAAAAAAAATATATGATAAAACTTCTATAAGTCTAATTGGTGAACTTTACAAATGTGGTGAAGCAAGAGAGGTGTTTCCTATGGCCTAAACTTGACCAAGATTCCGACAATATTTGCACTTGATAGGATCTTCAACTTTAACTTTACGGGAACACCACGATCACGATTGATCTGAAGGAGGCTTGGCTCTTTTAAGCGGATCAAACTAAGACCGAAGCTTACACAAACGAACTAACAATGAATTAGCATATACAGATATAAAACTTACAAAACGAACCATAAATATCGAAATATCTCCGGTAGAGGAAATTTGTAAAAAAAAAAACAAAATGATGACTATAATGTAATGGCCGTCTTATCTGTTTTACTGTCAAAAACAGATTCGACGAGTACATAATTTGAGGATATGACAAACCTATCAACCAAACATTATAAATTAATAAGATTGAAACTTGATGTAAAACAGAGGAAAGGGTCATCAGATAGGAGCGAAAGACTATGCTGATAGATGTAATCATGTAAGATCATCTGAACTATGCGTTATCAATCCTCACTTGACCCTTTCCAACCTTAATATTATTATTTTTCACTAATAACAAAAACAAAAACAAAAAGTCACCAAACAAACAAAAATCGAATTTTGAGTTCAAGCCTCATAGAGAAGATTAGATTTCATCAACAACGATTAATTCATGCATATATCAGCATAACATATTCAAACCAAAACAAAATCGAATTTGACTTTAGTTAAAACATATCAGCCTCATAGAGAAGATTAGATTTTATCAACAAGGATTAATTCAGACATATGCTTGTCAAAATTATTTAAATCATCGGCCAATAGAATAACCAAAAAAAAAAGAGAAACTGAGAAAATTGGGGAGGATGGACTCAGAATATGGGTGGTGATATAACAGAATGGTCGGCAAATTAGCTTTTTACAGCTGATATTACGACGAACGAGACCTTAATATCAATCGTCACTGTCCATCAATACACAAAACGAGAAAGAAACGTAATAAAAGACAAGTCGGCGTAAATCGAAAAAGACCGAAGAAAATTGATAGTGAATGTTTTGTTAAACTTTCTTATGCTTTTTATACAGACAAATTTTACGAGCTAGGGTTTTCGAGTGACACAACGTGTAGTTCCTAAGAATTTTATTCAAACTACACGCCGTTTCTAAATAATATAAACGGCACACGCTGTTCTAGCTAGAGGTATAGCTGGGAATTTAATTTTTTTTTTTTGAACACCGGGAATATAATTAGTTACTCGCGGGTTTGTCCCGCTGCAAATTCAAAAGATTTAGTTGGTCGATTGAATTTGAATTAATCACGGATATCCGCAAAAGAAACAAAAACATATGTAAAAAATATATATTTAAAATGTATAATTCCAAAATTCATAAGAGAAAGATCAAAAATAATAAACTTATTAATCACCAAGACTAGATAAAATAAAAGAAAAACGATGATGAAACAAACAACAAGCCTAAAAGGAAACAACAACTCGATCCCAACGAATAAGCTTTTGATATAGTAGTATCCCAAGCGTACATCAACGCAGACTGACGATAGATTCCATCTTCTCTAGCTTCCCATTGCTCGCCATCGCAAACATCAAACACTTGGTGATGCATGAAACCATGTCCTTGCCATACATGACACCATATACCATTGTTTTCGTAAAGTCTATCGTAAAGTACTCCTTCATGGCGAGCTTTGTAGCGAAGTTTGTAAAGCAAATTGTAAGATCCTCTAGAATGCACCCTATGGTATCCCATATCTTGCCCCGCGGATTTGCAATGGACAATAAGATCCTTTTGTTTAGGAAGGGAGTTTCTGATCCACACGTTTCATGTGTCGGACAAGGCTGTGTTACTCATCATCATAATGACACTAAGGACAAAAACGAAACGGAGAAGCCATAGACGATTCATTGAATGCTTTTTGGTTTTTAGCTAATGCTTGCCTTCTTTTCTTCCCGTGAGTGTTATTTAAAACAAAGACCAGAGTAGGATACGGGGTTAGAGTGCGAAAAGGAAAAACTTAATTGATAGAATTGTCGAAGTTGTTCTTTAGCTTGTCATTATAATAAAGCGTACAAGTCATAGTCCTACTAGTTATAGGAAACACAAACATAATACGAATATAATCTTAGTTTAGGATAACTACGTATTTTGGCCGCAGCCATTGAGATTTTATGAATATTTATTATTTAAGTATGAAAAATTGTTGTTTATACTATTAAGATTAAAATAAAGCTCAAATCATTTATATTTGACAAAGTTTCATCAAATATAAATATTTTGTTATGGCCTAAAAGTCTGCAATATTAAAGTAGCATAAAGATTTTTAAGATAATTAAATGTAAATCTTATTTCTAGAAGTGAAAAAAATATTGGTCAACCTTTTAACCAGCATTAAATCTAGTTATAAGAAAACTTAAATATTTGAATCTAATAGATGTAGTATTCCCAAATATTTAGATAAACTTCATCTTGTGAATCAATTACAGACTAATATTTTATGTGCATGTGCTATATAATCCTAAGTGTGTATTATACTTATTCAAATACACAAATTTAACTATATACACTTTATATTATATTGATTTATATAATATGAAGATAATGATTCATAATATAACATGTGATCCGTAATTTTAGTCAATTAACGTGAAGAAATAATTATTTGTTAAAATAAAATTATGTAAAAACAAGTATAAGTTATGAGTTGTTTACATTGTAAGACACTTTGTTGAGTTTTCTTACTACAAAAGACACTTCTTGCTTGAAGAGCACAATTACCTTTTTCAAAAGAGATATTGGACAATTTTGTCCTTGGTAGTAAAGAAGAGATATTCTAATGTTTTAATCTTGTTTATTTTTTTAACTAAAAATATATATAGTAAATTCGTTGACATAATAAATTAGGTTTTTTCATTCTCTTTATTGAGATCCACTTTGATATATTTTTATTATACTTCTAAAAATTTATATATAAATGTTATGGATTTGTGGATAGGAACATTTTGGATAGCCGTCCATAGTTATATATCAATACATAAAACCAGATTTATTATGTGTTGTGTAGACACATAATATGTGGATATATATGTTGTGAATATGAACACTTTGGATAACCGTCCACAATTATGTATCAATGCACAAAACAAAACAGATTTATGAATTATGTGTTTTGTGGACATATATTTTGTGGACAGATAAGAAAAATAATTTAGACTAATGAATTCTGAACACATATATTACATATAAGTTTGGAGAAATATTTCGTGGACAAATAAAAAAATTTGGAGAAATTACCATCTTTCACTAGATATAAAATGAAAACACAAGTTTGTGTTTTAATATTTGAGAAGCATGTAACAAAACTAATCTATAGACAACCTATACACACAAACATATAAACTTCTTTTTTTGGAAGAAAATACATACACATATCAACTAGTATACTGTGAAAAAGAAGATAATTAATATACATTAAATTTTAGAAAAGAAGGAAATAGTGTTACAAAAAAAAGGAAAAAAAAAGAAAATAATTCATATTTCTGGTCAGAATGGTGGTCACACGTGACACCTTTTAGAATCCACCATTTCTCATTTCCTTTTATTTGTACTTTTTTAATTCATAATTATTAATTTTAAATATTTGTTAAATGGAGTAACAAGAATAGATTACTTTTGTATAGGGTATTTTAGTCTTTGAACAATGAAAAAATGTGTGTCAAGTGAGAAGTGTCTTATTGTGATATTGTAAAGTTAAAAAGTGTCTATGGATGTAATTGACTCATTCATAAGTTATTTATATAACTACTACATAACTATTTATTAATTTAGCTATATAAGTTTATATTATAAGTGGTAGATAACTATGAAGATAATGATTCATAATATAACATCGTCTTCATAGTTTAATCTCACACCACCATCTTGGACTCACCGAGATTGAACAAAACTCTAGCTTTCCCATACGTTTCCAGAGTAAAAACCAAACACATGGTCATGCTTGATATTAAGTCCTCGTCATAGATGACACCTGCAAATGCTGTGTCATACATGGGACCTTTTACTTTTTTTCTGAGATATTCCCAAATATATATTTAAAATGTACAATTCCTAAATTCATTAGAGAAAAATCAAGATAATAAACTTATAATCACCAAGACTAAATAAAATAAAATAAAAACAAAGATGAAACTAACAACAAGCATAAAAGGAAACAACAACTCGATCCCAACGAATAAGCTTTTGATATAGTAGCATCCCAAGCGTACACTAACGCAGACTGACGATAGATTCCATCTTCTCTAGCTTCCCATTGCTCGCCATAGCGAACATCAAACACTTGGTGATGCATGAAATCATGTCCTTGCCATACATGACACCATATACCATTGTTTTCGTAAAGCCTATAGAAATATTCTTCATAGCGAAGTTTGTAAAGCAAATTGTAAGATCTTCTGGAATGCACCCTATGGTATCCCATATCTTGGTCCGCGGATTTGCAATGGACAATAAGATCCTTTTGGTTAGGAAGGGAGTTTCTGATCCACACGTTTCCTCTATCGGACAAGGCTGTGTTACTCATCATCATAATAATACTAAGGACAAAAACGAAACGGAGAAGCCATAGACGAGTCATCGAATGCTTTTTTTGTCTTTTAACTAATGCTGCCTTTTTTCCTGTGAGTTTTTTTTATTTGAAATGAAGAGAAGGAGGATATGGGATTAGAGATGGAGACATGAGAATATGCGAAAAGGAAAACAATTTAATTGATAGAATTGTCGAAGTTGTTCTTTAATCTTTAGTTTTTCATTATATTGTATATAAAGGGTACAAGTTATAGGAAACACAAACGTAATAGGATAATTAGTTTTTCCTTCTTTTTGGTAATTAGGATAATTCTTAAATCTAAGGATAAATCTTACTCGGGATCAAAAACCAAGGGGATCATATATTACTCTTCCATCTCAAGAAGCTAAAGAAGCTGAAAGATCATCAGAAACTACGAGGTAGGGCTGGGCAAATTATCCATATAATTTGATTCGATTCGTTATATATTTTGATTAGAACAGAAAAATACAAATATCCGTAACTCTACGAAGCAAAATAAATCCTAAAAGATAATATATATCTATAAAAAAAGGGCAAATCACAAATATTAGTAACTTTTAGAAGTACTAGATCTACTGCTGTACTACGCACAGTTAATCTATTAAACAAAATTTTCAATCATATTATTTATATATATAATATACTGTATAATTAAATTTAGAATTTAAAACAGAAGAAATAGAATGTTAAATTAAATAGAAAAGATAACGATTCACAAAATTATTGTAGTTAATGCAAGTAATATTTTTATAAATAATACAAATAATGAACAATTTATTTTACAAAATATAGATTTTCTAGTTGTTTTTAATAGAACTCTCATTTTATTTTTGGTACAAATAACTTACATAATAATTAATGTAATATTTTAATCTGTACTTTTTATTATTTTCTATCGTCAATATGTTGCTAGAAAATAATTACTATCAAAATCTGAAATTAAGTATATAAAAGGAATTGACATTTTTAAAAAAATTTAAAATAATACTATACAAATTTAAGATTGTATAGATTTTGTTGTTATGAATAATGTTTATTTTTTATATCTATATCTATACTATTAAAGCATAATCCTTATTAGGATTCTGCCCTTAGGTTTTCAAACTAATTACAAAGGAATGCCACTCATTTTCCTCTTTTTAATGATTTTCGACCATATTAATTTAACCAATCACAAACAAGAGTTTTTATGACCTACATATTCCATAACAATTTAAACCCAAACTAATTAAGCCCATTTCGTAGTTATGCGAAGCCAATTGGAGTAAGCCTGTTTCGTCTATAATATCCGTCCAATCACTACAAGAAAACACGTCCTTTACTAGGACGGGTTTTCCTCGTTATTTCCTAGTAAATGGCCCTTTACTAGGAAATAGCGAGGAAACGTGTTTCGTCGAAAGACGTTCATCGTAAAGGCTATTTTCCTCGTAAAAGCCTAGCTACTTTACGAGGAAAGGTTTCCTCGTAAAGCCGTGGAAAAGTTTTCCTCGTAAG